CCCCAGGAGTCCTGGCTCCCAGCCCCCTGCTCTAATCCATCAGACCCCCCACTCCTCTCCCAGAGCCGGGGAGAGACCCCAGGAGTCCTGGCTCCCAGCCCCCTGCTCTAATCCATCAGACCCCCCACTCCTCTCCCAGAGCCGGGGAGAGAACCCAGGAGTCCTGGCTCCCAGCCCCCTGCTCTAATCCATCAGACCCCCCACTCTCCTCCCAGAGCCAGGGGAGAGAACCCAGGAGTCCTAGATCCCAGCCCACTGCTCTAACCCACCAGCTCCCACTCCCCTCTGAGAGTCGGGGAGAGAACCCAGGAGTCCCAGTGATACTCCAGTGCAGTGACATGGGGAGGGTGGAACCAGGGGGATGAAGAGAGTGTGGTTACCTCCATGGCACTCTTCGCCAGCCTCACTACCTCAAAGAGGTTGCTGGGCTCTGGGTTTCTCTCAGCCAGGCTATCCCCATCCCTGCTGGCATCTTTCCGGGGTCGCTTGGCTGTCTGGGGGAGGGGGGTGAGGAGAAAAGACACCGGCTGAGCCCTGGGTTCGAGTAGATCACAGCTTCATGAGAAGTGTCCCAGAGAGACAACAGTGAATCCATGGTCCAGGGAGGCTGGGGTTCCTGCCCTGGCTGGCCACAACAGGGGGAAGGGGGAGGCTGGGACCAGGGTCAGAAGCTCCTGGGCTCTGCTGCACCTGCAACATCAGCTCCATGGCACAAAGCTGGCTGGAGCAGAAGAGCTGGGATCAGACTGAGTGGGGGGAGAGAGGGGCTTGGGGGGCACAGAGGACCAGGCTGAAGCTCAGGGGGTTGAGGGTGTCCACATGAGGGGAGGCTGGGGAGCCAAGGGGGTGTACCAGGGTGCAGCTCAAGGAGCTGGGAGACTGGAGAGGTCCTGCATAATAGGGTGCCTCTCTGGGGACTGTGGAGGCGCCAGCCAGGGTGCATCTCTGGAATCTGCAGGAGTGAACACCAGGGTACATCTCTGGGGACTGGGAGATAGTGGAGGCGCATACCAGGCTGCGGCTCAGGGGACTGCGGGGGCACATACAGGGTGCAGCTCAGGGGACTAGGATACCAGTGAGCTCTGTGTTCTTGGGGAACCAGGGCACAGTATCCAGCCTGTCCGACTCACCCCCACCCCCAGCCTCTGCTTAAACCATCATAGAAAAGACTTGCAGAGAGCAATGAAGGGCGGATGGGAGACGCACCTAGACCCCTCCTGACAAGGGTGACAAGTTTAAGACATCCCCATTTTCATACAGAATGGAGAGCAGAGACAACTCCCAATGCCTCATCTGCATGAGCCATGGGACAGGGATTAGCATAAATAAAGAACAGAGAACCGCAGGGAACTCTGGGACCAGAAAAGCAGAAATTTCTGCTCCAGATGTTAATGGACCTACACCTGCCCACACCCAGCTCAGGAATTATCAGACCAATTCTAGTAATGAATCCTTGATTAATATCCAAAACTCTGCAGCAGCCTAGTTGCATTGGGAGCTCCCTGGGAAAAAACACCATCCATAGCCAAGAGTGATCAGCTCCTAGCCTCTAGCCTAAAGAAAACCCTGGCGTCATCAGTTTACCCATAAACAAACCAAGTGTTCTCCCTTGAACCATTGTTGTTTCCCTACAAAAACCCCTACCTGTGCCCAAGGCAGGGTTCTGATGCTTAGATCCAAGCTCTGCATCAGTTCCACTGGGACTCCATCTTCTCCTGACGGATCGTGCTGGGGGCTCTGCCGGTCTCCGCCGGTCTCCCTGAGCTACCACCATCACCTTGGAACCCCAACCAGTTCAAGCCTCATGGAGTGGGTAAAACCCCCCCTTCTTTCTCTCTCTCTCTTTTCCTTTCTATCTTAGGCATTAACCTTGAATAATGTATGTTATGTTGGTTTAGCTCTCCTTGTGTAGTGATCACTAGTATTCAATAAATAACTTTGTCGTAGAAATTCCTGTCCAACTTGTATGGTTAAGCTGGTTAGAATCATAGAATATCAGGGTTGGAAGGGACCTCAGGAGGTATCTAAGCACACCCCCAGCTCTTGCCTGCCCCACTCCTAGGTAAAAACATGTCCGCTATTCTTTTTTTA